CCTACCTGCCTACCTACCTAGTTGTTCAACTGTCAGTGTCTTCAACATCTCGCTGTGCCCCAAATGTGCAACTGACTGCATAGCTGGGCGAATGGTGGATGTAAACACTTGCATGGTTGCCCTTCTGCATGTAGTGAACCTCAACAGGTTTTGATCTCTCTCTCTCTCTCTCTCTCTGTGTGTGTGTGTGTGTGTGTGTGAGAGAGAGAGAGAGAGAGAGAAAGAGAGAGAGAGAGATTGAGATTAGGTTCTGTGCCCTACATGGGCTTCAGTTCTACATATGTTGGACTGCAAGTTCCCTCCTCCTTGTCCAGCACAAAATGCTGGCTGGGAGGACAAGAGCATCATCTCGTTCTGAGGGTACCAGGCTGAGGACTTCCTCCTCCTCCTCCTCTCCCTGAGCAGGGGCAAATAGACTTTGTACTGTTCCCAGGAAGCCTTGATCGTTCTTTCTGGATGCAATCTTTTAATGCGCTGTAACCAGCAAGTATGGAATTGGAGATCTGTTGAGCCTCCTAGGGCTCTGTTTCAAATGTTGTTGCACTGTCAGGTGTGAACGGGTTGCCATCACTATTGTTCCCGGGTCCCGGTCAATCAGCAGGGACCCAGTCTCTCTCACGGTCTGCTCCGTCAAACCTTCCAGCAAGGGCACAGTCTTGTCCTCCCGTTCGAGATTCCACAGGGTTCATCCCTCGGGGGGTCTCGATCCCCCCAGGGTCCTCCCTGTAATTCCTCTTCCTCATCTCCCTTCTGGCCTCTCTCTCCTTTCTCTACTCTTTCCTTCTTTTCTCTCAACCTCCTGCTCCACTCTCTTGCCTCGGCTTCTCCCCAAGAAGAGGGTCTTGGGGGAATCTCCCTTCTTCTTCTTCTAGAATCCGCCTCATCTTCAGGCACTCTCATCCTCTCCCATCATCCTGTCCAGGGGTCCTCCATCCACACACATTCCCAGCCTGGCACTGGTGGAACGGACTCTCCTTCCTTTTTACCTCCCCTGTTCCTGCCTCAAATTCCACCTCCTCCTTCCTCTCTTTTCCTGCCTTTCCCTCCTGGACCTGCAATTTCCCAGTCCGCTCCTCTATTTCCATCCCTTGCTGAGCTTCTGCCGCAGAGTCCTGGCGCCGGCTGGGGACTCACCTCCTCCTGATCCTCGCTGTGTGTGTGTGGGGGGGGGCGGCTCTCCAGCGAGTGGGGCATCCCTCTTCTCTCGCCTTCTGTCTCACAGCAGGTCTGTATTAATCTCCTGTGCAAAGTGTCAAGTGATGACTATACTGTGACTCAAGCCTTCCAAGATGCATGCAAAAATTGGGAACATCATATCCATTCTAGGGTTAAACTGGGAATTCGTGTTGTGTCCTCTATGATTGGGTGTGTGTGTGTGTCTTTTATTTTCAAGGTTTGAAAGAACAGAACAAAAGGGATATCTTTCTAGGGGTTAACTTTATGCTGCGAAAGGATTTACTGATATTTACATTTATTTAATTATCCAGGATTGAAACTAGATATGCCCACCAAAAAACCCATTATCCTTTTTTCTGCTTTCAAATTTCTTACTAATGTGTCATTTGAAAGGCATTCTTTGTCTTGTTGCTTATCTTCCACCTTCCCTTTTCCAAATAGAGCTCTGATTATCTTACATTGCTAGAAATTTCTTACTGTGAAGAATCTCTCTCCCTCTCCCTCAGACATATAAATGTATAGTACAATGATAAAGCAGTGTTCCTGTATATCATCTCCATAGAGCTACTTGAGTTTCCCTGGAATATTACATACTGTGTTTGACTGTTTTGTATATTAAAGGTCTATTTATCAAAGTTCTGTTGTACTGGATCCTATGCAAAACTTTGTATCGATGTCTTAAATATGAGCTTGTGGTGAAGAAAAGTGGCACAGAGAGTGCATGATTTGTTATTTCTTGTGGACCCTTACTATTTTTAACTTGTGTTGAGAAGCATTTCAGGTTCTTGTTATGTAAAGACTGGAGAAATGAAATAAAATTTCCTTTCTTCTTTTTAAACTCACACTGAATTCAGTCTCTTTTATATGCGCTTTTCTATGCCACACACAAATGTGCCCTTATATTTTACCCCCAAGTCTATCCTAGCATGCAAAGGCTTTCTTCTTTTATAGATTACATTTTAAAAGGAAATGTTTTTAATATTAGTTAATTTAAACAATATTAGTTGCTGTTTGTTTCACTGGAATAGTATAAATATATAAATACAACAATATCTACTACCCCTCGGCAGCCCCTTTCAGGCTCGCTTTCCTTCTCCCTGTCAGGCTACAAAGACAAACCCTGAGTGAAAACTCCTGCCATAACTATTGGCAGCTATTGGGGTTATTTGGCCTCTCTCCCTATGGAGAGAAAGGTGTAGGCATTCTATAACTGTCTTTTAGGCAAGAGAGTCGGTGCAGGAGATTTGATTGTGTATTTTTCTTTAAAGGATGACAGGGAGAAGGAAATGCCCTCACGGGCTTTCCTTCAGGCGTCATTTGGCCTCTCTTCTTTTTTTTTCTTTTATCATTAGCATGCTTCTTTTACTCATATAAAATACGACAATTTTTATTTCAAATGTGTTATACACATTTTTCAAATTTGCCCTACGAGGTTATGATAAAATGTATGAAGTTTTTGGAAACTCTGTTAAAAACCACCCGATTGCTTTCAGCTGAGTCTTTGGAAGAGGCAAGCCCACCTAATCCCTGTCTGAAAATTTGTGTACAAAAATCAAGGCCTTCCCTCTCCCTCTGAATGTAGACACAGTAACGCACTAGGGTCTGAAATCCCCTAGTAAGTTGCACTGAGAGAAGGCCCCCAAATTCAGTCAGGGTTTGGTTAGTTGAGCCTTCTAAAAGTTGTTGGTGACTTGCTATTGGTTTCAGCTAGAAGTGTCAACTATTGGAAGAAGAATCCACCTAGGCGAGAAGATTTTAATAAACATCTACTCTGAGAAATGCATACCAAGATCACAGGAGGCAAGAGTGCAGTTATTTTTATGTGCTGTCAGGTTGCATCCAGGACATAATTCACTGGCCTTTCTGCTGCATCACCAAGAGGTGAAAATCACTGACTTTAAAAGAAAGAAAAAATCACATAGAATCAAACCTCTGAGAGCTATGCCTTTTATTATTATTTGAAAATATATTTTCAAAAACATGGAGGTCTGGTAAATTTTCACTTAATATGTGCAATATTTCAAAGACCTCATTTTGACCTAGGAAATAAAAACCTGTAGTACTTTTGGGCAGTGCAGGTCTCCAGTAATTTGAGTCAATCTGGTTTGCAGTGATTCACCCTGTGATTTTAATTACTTCAATTAAAATCAAATTTACCTGCCTCTGATCCAGGCGCAGACATCTGGTAGCTTTC